TGTGGAAAAAATAGAATTTAAATCACTAAAGAGGGAGTCCAAACCCAAGGGTAACTGAACACATAAACTTAATTCCAAGTTTTTGGATGCAAACTATTTCCCACAAATAAGTTCACGGGAAGTAGACGACTTCTTATAAATTATATCTTGAATAGGATCTCCTATGGGCTTTATGAAGCATACTGTTTATTGAAGTCCATGCCAGGTTTAAGGTCAAAGTCCTAGGCTGCTTTCACGTGCTAGCAGCCATTTCAGAATATTTATAACAATGTACTTGTGATGAATCATCACAAATACCAGCCTAAGTTTTCTTTTCCTCCTCTTCATTTTCAAATTTCCATTTTTATTCCCACTTCCCTTACATAAGTCAACTAACTACTCAGCAACAGATAAAAAGCAACACGATTCACCTTGCCACATCCACACCTTCCATCTCCTTTATATTGCTCCTTGGGCAGTAAGTTCAGGCAGACTAGCAAGATTTCTGAAGAAGAAATCAGCCTGAAGCTAGTCTTCCAGAACAAGAGAAGCAATTGCGATCATGAGGTCAGTGAAACAGGAACGCTTAGTAATCCTGATTTGGGAACACATTTTAGCAGCTTCTGGGGTGCATTGGGATGTGATGTCTTAGAGATGAAACATTCCTTTATCAGTTTGGGCATTTTCTGTGGCTGTGTGTGGTATGCAGATTCAGGTTTCTATATTCTTCACTGAGTGGAGCTGGGCACCAGGATCTGGGATGGGGAAGGTTCACAGGAGTAGCCTCTGGTTGCTTATATAGAGTTACACCGAAAGTACTCTTTATGGGCTTTTCTGTTGTGGTTTTATTTAAACAGACAAGGAAGAGACTTTAAAAAAAATTTATAATTATTGGGCTGGAGTGACAGCACAGTGGCTGGGGCATTTGCCTTGCATGTGGCAGACCCGAGTTCTATTCCCAGCATCACATATGGTCCCCCGAGCCCTGCCAGGAGTAATTCCTGAGTGTATGAGCCAGGAGTAACCCCTGTGCATCTCCGGGTGTGACCAGAAAAGCAAAAAAAAAAAAAAGAGGAGGAATAGAGGAGGAAGAAGAGAAGGAGGATGAGGAGGAAATGGATACTGGTGGAGGGATGGATGTTGGAATACTGTTTGACTAAAATCCAATCATGAACAGGTTTGTAGGGTTCTATCTCACAGTGATTCAATAAAAAAGCTTTAAAAATTATATAAAAATATAATAAATTTAGGGGAAAATTTGCTGGAATGAATCAAATAGTTTGCCTCTATAATAATATAAAAATTTTATGGTTTGAGGTCTCACATTTAAATCCATTTAAGAATTGATTTTGTATGTGAACTAAGGCAGTGTTCGGCAATTTTTCCAATGTTTTCTGTTGAAAAGACTCTCCTCTTCTTTTAGTAAAATTCTGGCTCCATAAATTAAAGAAATATCTATCTAGCTACGTATGTATGTGTGTGTGCATGAATTTCTGGGATTCCTACAGTGCTTCACAGGTCTATGCTTCTGTTTTTATCTTTCCATTTTGATGACTGCGACTTTAAAAAACATTTCATTTGAAAACAGAAATATGATGCCCTAGCTTTGGTTTCTTCATCATATTTCTTGGTATATTCATGGTCTTTTGTGGTGTCGTGAAAAGTTTAGAATTGTTCTTCGATTTTTTTTTTGAAAAACTATTTGGAATTTGATAGGAATTTTATTAAATCTGTAGATTGCTTTAGGTGATATGGCCATTTTAACAACAGTAATTCTTGTAATTTATCGATAAGGTTATCTTTTCACGTTTTGTTTTTTCTTCTTTTTTTGAAAGGTTCCCAAATTTATTTGATCTGCTACCCACTTTTCAGAAAAAAAAAAAACACTCAGCAACCACCAGAAATCTACCTATTTTAAAAAAAAATTTTATTAGTGAATCATTGTGAGGTACAGTTACAGACTTACAAATTTTCATGCTTGTGTTTCAGGCATAAAATGCTCAAGTACCCATCCCTCCACCAGTGCCCATTCCCCACCACCGATGATCCCAGTATCCTTTCCACCCCCCAACCCCATCCCCCACTCCCGCCCCACCCCGCATGTGGAATGGCATTCCCTTTTCTTCTCTCTTTCCTTTTGGGTGTTGTGGTTTACAATAGAGGTATTCAGTGGCCATCTTGTTCAATTTATAGTCTACTTTCAGCCTGCATCTCCCATCCTGAGCGGGTACTCCAACCACACTTTACGTGGTGTTCCCTTTTCTATCAGACCTGCCCTTTACCCCAGTATATGAGGCCAGTTTCCAAGATGTGGAGCAAAGCTCCTGGTAGTTATCTCGACTATTCTTGGAATTAGTCTCCCATTCTGTTATTTTATATTCCACAGATGAGTGCAGTCTTTCTATGTTTGTCTCTCTCTTTCTGACTCTGGAAATCTACCATTTTTTAAAGTGAGCAAATAGAAAGCCCTCCGTGATTGCAGATGAGGGACAACAAGCCTTTGATTGTTCCAGTGCCTCGTAGAGGAGTACCTCCCATTCTCGGAAAGAGTGAAATATCTAGCAGCTTTTAATGTATATATCTTTCACCAACTTGGTTACATTTATTCCTTGGCATTTATTAAATTAGATTCTGCTACAAATGAGGAAATTTTCTCTTTCTGATAGTTATTAATTCAAAGAATGTAGTTTGTTTTTATATTTTAATTTTCTGTACTGTTTTTATACTTTAATTTTACTAAATTTGTTTCTTATAGTGTCCTTACTGGTTTTGGTATCAGTCTGATACTGGCCCTGTAAAATGAGTTTGTACGTTTTCCATCCTATTCTATTATTTGGAAAACTTTAAGAAGGATTGTTATTAATTCTTTAATACTTTATAGGGTTCATCATAAAACCTCTGGTGTAGACCATTTTTTTAATATATGGAATTTGGCCAATCTGTACCCTAGTAATTGATTTGTCCAGACTTCTTTATAACTCAGTCTTGGTAGGGTGAATGTTTATAGAAATGTATACACTTGTCCTAGTTTGCCCAACTTATTAGGTAATATTCTTGTAAATTTATAAATAAATCTTCTCAGTGTCATCTATTTAACTTAGACTTAATGTTTATTTCCTCATGTTGGCTCTCTTACTTACACCTGTATATCTTTGTATAAGGGGGAAAGAATTATTACAAAAAACCTAGTTGGTAAATCCTAACTGGAGAGGTAAAACACTGGCAATGTGCTGGTCTAGTCAAGGAACCAAGAAGAGAATAATAAGGACTTCCAAGACACATACAAGAGAAGAACAACCTTGATGATAATTCCGCTCTTCTCTCAGGCCTTAGATTCATTCCCTTGACTCTGAAACTGACACAAAGCAGTGAGGGGTGGTTGGTAGGGACAGGGGAATCAGTTCTCAAAAGACTCAGAGACATTTCAAGTGATACTAGGCCTATTTGCTAGAAAGTTTGAAGCTTAACCTCTGGTAATTGGGATATAGCTAGGTTATTCCCAACCCTGGGGGAGGAATCTATTGTTGGAATCTCGCTCATATTCATTATTATTACTATAGCAGTGATAAACTGATCTCTCCTATAGCTGTGCACTGTCTCAGGGCTCTCACCTCCACACTCTCTGTCTCAGGATCCTCCTACAATAGCCATCTCTGGAGGCACTGACCTTGGCAGCTCACTGCACTCTCTCCCTTTCTCTCTCCTTCTCCCCCTCTCTTTCTTAGTTGCATCTCTGCTGCTCCACTGCTTTGCTCTCTGCTCCTGCTCTCTCTCTCTCTCTCAAGGGTTGGGGTTCATGGCTACCTTCTCTCTGTCCCTGGCCTCTCTAGCATTGTCTTGGTGTCCAGGGGCAGCAGAAGTGTCACAGAATCCCTTAGCTCACTGCTTTTCACTTCCTACTAGTTTTCTCCCTCAGGGGTACCTCCTGTTATACAGGACAGAACAAAGAATACTTACAGATGTGTATCTGTATTGGATTGGTGTATATATTAAATGCTTACGGATGTGTGTAGATGAGTATATGTAGACAAGTAGAGGTGTAATTATATGCCTTGAATACTTGTGTGTGTGCCTCTGTGCCAAGACCTAGGCATGCACACAAGTCTTCAAGTTCTCCCTATTTTGGTCCCATTCTCAAGGTCCCACTATTTTGCCTAAATCAAGGCCTCTTCATTTTCCATGAGTCAAGACTCATTCCAGTCCTGGGCTCCCAAAGCAGTATATTGAGCACAGATATGACTGTGCTTAGAGTGGAGAAAAGTCTAACACTTCTACCAAAATCCAAGAAGCCACCAGCCTCATTCATCCACGAATCTCACAACCTGCACCTACAACCACACAGTTTGAGGGAGCTTCTTTGTGAGTTTCCGTACAGATAATATCTCTAGGAGAGAGAAAAGAAAAGCATCTTCTCTGTGTTTTTGAAAAATGTAGGTGTGTGTAGTAAGGAAAGTTTTGTAGAAGAACAGTACCAATAAGGAGATACATAACTGAATAATCTAGGACCAATAAGCCTGTGTTACAGTACCAGCAAAGTCAGAAAACTTGAGAATTGCAATACTGTGGTTTAAGTTCCAATTTGAGGTGAGAAGAAACTATATTCCAGCATAAGCAGCCCAGTACCACTGATCCAACCTTTCTCTGCCTTTGATTCTACTCAGCCCCTCAACAAATAGCTGATAGCTGCTTTCCTTGCTCTCTTTAGTATAGGGATGAATGCTATTCCCTTTGGGAAACCCCTCAAGATTTTCTCAGAACAAATGCTTGACTAAATATCTGGGCATCCCATGGCCCAGCAGAATTGACATCAAATTAACCTAGAATTTCATCACACATTGCAGTACTTGGCAAGTGCGCATCACAGTGATCATGTTTATTTTCTTCACAGTGAGGCCAACGGTATCCTGGAACAAATCCTTCCCCAGCTGAAATGTCATTTTACGTGGAATTTATTTAAGGAAAAGGATGTCCCAGAGGATCTGGAAGAGAGAGTGCGTGAGCAGATTGAATCTTCATACTCTGAGTCCAAAGGCACAATGTACAACTTGTTGGCCTACATGAAACACTTAGATGGTTGGGACGAGGAGGCCCTGGAATGCTTACAGCAGGCTGAAGAGTCACTCCAGCAAGAGCACTCTGACCAGGCAGAAGTCAGGAACCTGGTGACCTGGGGAAACTATGCCTGGGTCTACTATCACCTGGGCAGACTCCCAGAAGCTCAGGCTTATGTTGACAAGGTGAAACGGGTGTGTGAGAAGTTTTCAAATCCTGTCAGTCTTGAGTGTCCTGAGCTGGACACTGAGGAAGGGTGGGCACGGCTTAAGTGTGGCAACAGCCAAATTAAAAGGGCCATAGTGTGCTTTGAGAAGGCTCTGGAAAAACACCCACATGACCCAGAATTTGCCAGTGGACTGGCCATTGCAAAGCACCGTGAAAGTGAGTGTCCAGCACCTGTAAATGTCATTAATCTTCTGCGGGAAGCCATTGAACTGAATCCTGATAGCAAGTATGTTAAATTACTCCTGGCTCTGATGCTTCAGAAGATGAATAATGCTGAAGGAGAGAAGTTAGTTGAAGAATTTTTGGAGGAAGGACCATATGAAGCAGGTATGCTTCAACAAGCAGCCAAGTTTTATCAAATCAAAGGAGACATAGACAAAGCTATAGAACTGTTTGAGAGGGCTTCAGAAATGTTGCCAAACAGTACTCGCATACACTCCATTATTGGGACTTGCTATAGAATAAAAGCCTTCAAAATATATTGGGGAAATAATAGAATGTGTCAAGAAAGTGAGAAGTTATTACAGCATGTAGTAAAACAAGCTATAGATCATTTTAAGAAAGCTGTTAACAACAAAAATCTCTCACAGATCAACATCAATATTGCTATCCTCCATGGAATAGCAGGTAAATACAAGGAAGCAGAACATTACTTCCAACAAGAATTCGAAAAAGAACTTACTCCTTTAGCTAAGCAAAACCTTCATTTAGCTTATGGCAACTTTCAGTTGTATCAAATGAATTGTGAAGAGAAGGCCATCCACCACTATATGGAGGGTGTAAAAATAGACCATGAATCAAAGGAAAAAGAAAAAATGAAAAGAAAACTATATAAACTTGCCCAAAAAAAGGTTTCATGAATGTAGAAAGGATTCTCAAACTATGAAACTTTTGGAATTCCTTAAGTAGTAGAATGGACAAATGCACTTACCACATTCCACCAGCTCTAAAAATGTTATAGACACTGAAAGCCTTGGTCAGTTAGCGTCTTTATCTGAGAAATGACGATCTGGAATGTGATGCCTCCAAGACAGTTGGAAGAAGCTTAAACTCCTTCAGTCAGCAACATTCAAGTATTTGAGTGATTTGGCAAAGAGATGAACCAAGGCTCCAGATAAAGCACTGGATTTAGATTATGGAAGAACTCTAATGGGCCAAGCATTAGCTCGACTTTTGCATGGAGAGTGCTAGAAGACACATTTTTTTTGCTACTACACATTAATAAATCTTATAATACTAGCACTGCACTGTCCTCTTGTTGTTCATCGATTTGCTTGAGCGGGCCCAGAAACGTCTCCATTGTGAGACCTGTTGTCACTGTGTTTGGCATATAGAATACATCACAGGTAGTTTATAATGCTATATACAGAATAAACAATATAGATAACAATATCATTATAGCATCAGCTTGTTAAGAAGACTAGATCTTAATTACTCCCACCTGAAAAAATATCTTGTTATATTCCCTTGTAGAGGTGTTATCGCCACAGTGGCAACTGTATCAGGATATAGAAATGTATAAAATCAACATACAGTATATTCTGAAAATGTTCAATGCTATGCAAAACTTATTTTCATGTATTTAAGTATAGAATAACTTTTTGTTATTGCTTTTGTTATGAACCCAGCAGTGTTCAGGTAAGAGTGCTTACTCCTGGCTCTTTGCTCAGGGATCACTCCTGAAAGTCTCAGGGAACCATCTGTGGTGTAGGGGATCGAATCCAGGTCTACCACATGTAAATAAAGCACCTTACCTGCTGTACTATCTTCTCTCTGGCCAAAGCACAGATTAATTGTTATGTGAATTTAAATGTTATATAAAAGTCAATGTTTTTACTTATAACAACTGTAACAAAGTTTTTGTGTATTTTAACTAAAACTAACGCTAGGTACACTTGTGATCATCAGTATGCATGTATGGATTCCTGAAAAATGGCATAGATTTGCAAGTGCCATGTAAACTCTTTCACCAGCCATGGTCCAGAGACTCAGAAATAAATCTCAAAAGGGATCTATAAATGGCAGAATTTCTCCCAGATCACTCACAAAGCTGAGTCAACCCAGGGCAACCAGGAAGGCAGGGGGAATGGGTGAGTCCCTCAAACCCACCCAAACAGAGCACCAGCTGCTGAAAACCTCCACATTCCACAATTGACACTGTGCTCCCAGCTAGACTCTGCTGCTCCAATGAGCCTTGTCCTGAAATGTCACCATGTGACATCTCAAACTCTGTAACACTGATAAACCAGGAGAGCACAGCAGATTAGATGGGATGGAATATAGAAGGCAATCAATCGTAATTGCAAAATATAAACACAGAACGCTTAATGTGTAACAGCATCTCAGTAAACTTTTATACAAGGGCCCAAGAGCTCCATGGTGAGATACTCTCTTCTAAGGGAACATTTTTGGATCATCTTTTAGCAAATTATTTATAATAATCAATGTAAAATCATTATTGAGGGCCTGCCTTGAGTACAGCTGAAGAAATGGTTGGGAAAATTGGAAATAATGGTGGTGGGAAGGTGCAGTGGTGGTGGAACTGGTATTAGAATATTGAATGTCAGTAACTCAACTAAAGACTTAATAAAATTACTTTTTAAAAAAAAACAAGGCACATATTTTATTTTTAAAATTTCTGTGATAGAATATAAAGTTGTCTTGTGGCATTTCTAAACTTTTGTTGTACTTTTAATCTTTCACCTGTTGATAAATTAAACATTAGCCTGGATATCAATTGGCTCCATGTAACTAACAATTAAACTACTGAATATGCCAATCTTTTTTTCTATAACCTTAAGAATTCAGACATTCAACTTACACCTGTCACCCACCATCATGCACCCTTGGATACATGAACACCAATCTCCACACTGACCACTGACCACTGACACTGGATGGACGATTGCACTTCTCTCTGTTCCTTACAACTTGTACACCCATCCACATTCTCTCTTCTGACCTCCATTAGAGAAAAGCGACTTGTCACTGATTCTTTTTTCTCATCTTGGATGTGACCTAAGTGCAGACTGAAGAATTAAATAAGGAATGAAAGGTCATGAATCTTCTAGATCAGTTGGCCTTGCTTTCTCCAATGCCAAATACCAGTCACAAAGGTAAACCAGTTTTGCTGGAATGAAAGGGCATAGATGTCACAAGGGAAGGTTTACTTCACTTTGCATGAATAATGGATCATTAGATCTGGTACTTACAGAAGAAATCACTGAGAGTGATGAGTAGAAGGCTAGACTGAAAGGTACAGAGACCTGAGAAAAGAGCATTAATAACTTCAGTATACTAAAGTAAGCACCACAAGTGTATGTAAACTTATTTTTCTGTGTCTGCCATTAAAATCTTCCAAATACAGGATTCTGAAAGTAAGAAGTCTCAAAAATATTTCCAGTAAGGTTAAACCAAGAAATTGTTCCTCCAGAAGTAAATCAGAATCCCCTTTTTGGCTACACCCTTGTCAGGGTTTTTGATAAGGACCATTCTGATGGTATCAGGTGATATCTCATTGCTATTTTTATTTTCATTTCTCTAATATGCAAATATAATTTCCCTAATATAAAATATATACAAATGACATAACAATGTATATCAGGGATGGCGAACATATTTAATTATGTCTTTTGGCCATCTTAATGTAATTGTTGATAAGCTGACTATCTCCTCTCCCCATTTTGTGAGGTACTGTTCTGTTTCTTTTGTTAAGTTTTGAGAATGCTTTATATATCTTGGCTAAAAGGTTTTTTTCTATGTGTCATGTATAAATATTTTCTCCCAATCAGTAGAGGGATCTTTTTTTTGTGTTAGATCTCATTTTGTTTGCAACAGCTTCTGTAGTTTGGTATACTCCCATTTATTTACTTCTATGTTTACTTCTATGGGGCTGGAGCGATAACACAGCGGTAGGGCGTTTGCCTTGCACGCAGCCAACATGGCCGACCCGAGTTCGATTCCTCCGCCCCTCTCGGAGAGCCTGGCAAGCTACCGAGAGGATCTCGCCCGCACAGCAGAGCCTGGCAAGCCACCCGTGACGTATTCGATATGCCAGACACAGTAACAACAAAGTCTCCAATGGAGACGTTACTGGGCCCGCTCGAGCAAATTGATGATCAACGGGAGGGCCTTTACTTTACTTTATGTTAGTTTTCTTCATTGGGAGATGTATCATTGAAGACTCTTCTGAGGTCAAGATGTTGGGATAGTCCTACCTATGTTTTCCCCAATGTATTTTAAAGATATATACAACTTCGATATCAATGTTTCCAATACAATTTAAAATTAACCACAATATAAAGCATTACATAGGGGTCTGATGTCTTTGTTTTGTTTTATTTTGCATGTGGCTATCCAGTTTCTTAAGCACCATTTGTTGAAGAGACACTCTGCTCCATGTACTGAGTCCCTTTGCCATCAATTAACTGCCCATACAGCTGAGTGTTTATCAGAATGGTTACCAAGGCAAATACATGGTACATGGCAGATTCTCCTGTACTGTCTTTCTGGCATAGATTGTGGATTCTTCCTGAGAACAGTTATATTGATAAAGAAACTATTGCACATCTACATAATGGAATACTACTCAGCTGTTAGGAAACATAAAGTCATGAAATTTGCATATAAATGAATTGATTTAGAGAGTATCATGCTGAGTGAAATGATTCTGAAAGAAAAGGGTAGATATAGAATCACTGCATTCATTTGTAAGATATATATGTATGTATGTATATATATATATATATATATATGTATCACTGTCACTGTCACCACTGTCATCCCGTTGTTCATCAATTTATTCAAGTGGGTGCCAGTAACATCTCCATTCTTCACAGCCCTGAGATTTTAGCAGCCTCTTCTTACTCGTCTTTCCCAACGCTGCTGTATTGGAGGCTCTTTCAGAGTCATTGAGACCCATTATTGTTACTTTTTTTGGCATATCAAATATGCCACAGGTAGCTTGCCAGGCTCTGCCATGCAGGGTGTATACTCTCGGTAGCTTGCCGGGCTCTCTGATATATATATATATATATATATATATATATATATATAGTCCCCCCCCCATTGTTAATCAATTTGCTCGAGTGGGAGCAGTAATATCTCCATTTTGAGACTTGTTGTTACTGTGTTTGACATATTGAATACGTCATGGGTAGCTTGCCAGGCTTTGCTGTGCAGGCGAGATACTCTCGGTAGCTTGCCGGGCTCTCTGAGAGGGGCGGAGGAATCGAACCCGGCTCGTTGGGGCTGGCTGTGCACAAGACAAATGCCCTAACATTGTGCTATTGCTATATATATATATATATATATATATATATTCCCTCTATGATTTGTTGCCTACTGTCTGAACCCCATTAAATATGGTGTGGTAATTATGGAAAATGGGTAGGGAGTGTCTTATGATGTGTCCAAGAATATGCTCACTTATATGTGAGGCTTGCCCCGAGTGTGTGGAAAGCATCCTGGAGCATGGCTGTGGTTGGATAGTGAAGGTTGACTGCTGGGGCTGGGTCCCTTGAGGCAGGGAGGACTTTCACCTTCCCCCCTCTGGTGCACCCCAAGTAAAACAGCCTGGTGTGGAGTCAGTGGCATGGTTATGGGGGCCTTATTTTATGCTCCCTTCTGGAAGAAACAGCCGTGAGTTCTGGAGGGTGGCCGATGAGGAGATTATCTGGCACTGGCAGGAGGCGGCTTTGGGTGTGACCCCTGGGTTGCCAGAGACGGGCAACTGAAAACTGGGAAGCAGGCAGAGAATTTCTGCTCCCAGGTCCCCATTGAGCCCAGAGTCTAAGGTCACAAAGTTCCACATTACCTGGGTGCCAGGCTGTTTTCACTCGAAGAGCCCCAGAGGGGGGCG